GCAAACATCTCATGCCTTAAACATCAAAATACTAGTAGCAGTACATATGCACCATATTATGTACGTTAATAAAACGCAAAAGCATAGTGCAAAAGACACCTAATAATCTCTGTCATATGGAAATGTTAAATGATAGCATTTTTTACTAAACCAAGTAGATGCAAGCTACTATCAAAATTAAAAAATGTCTCAAGTGGCTCAGGCAATCAACGAGTTGAAGAAATGTGAAGAAAGGAGAAAATCAAACTCTGTTTCCATCTTGACAATTATCAATCAAAATGACAGTCAAGTAAACAATAAGTACATGGAATCAAGTTTATTTTAGCTTCTCAATTCCTGATGGGATCTTGAAAAAAAAAAAAAGTCAATAGAATCTGCAACAATATGCATTCGTGCGCTGAAGTTTTGCAAATTAGATTCAAGCCAAAATTGCACCTTCAAACAATAGACAGCAAGACGCCTCCTGGTCTCAGCATTCCCATTCTGAAGATCTGATATTATTGAATGGTGGACATTCTCTTTCTGTACAAAAGCAATGCCAAGTAAAAAATTTTAGTTTCACTTTCAGATAAAAGTGGCAAACCAAAGTAAACAACAAATGTTGAAAGGTAAACACATGAGCAGAACAAACCCTGGAAATAAATTAATAACTAGAAACAGCTAGCAGAATCTAAATGCATATTTTGACTATTAAGACATAATTATGGAAGGAGGCATATAATCTAAGAAGAAACTCTGACCTGCTCAGAAAGAAAGTGCGCTGAAACTGAATTCAGTGAATAAGAACTTAGATTGTAGTCACTTTGCATAGCCTACATTGAAAGATACATAGCTAATTAAAAAATCTGTCAATATGAATCATCTAAACTCTCAGATAAAACTACAAACTCATGAAGTAGAAACATGGCATGTGTGAAACCTGGAGCAAATCAAATTGTACTCTTCCTTCCACAGTAACTTCTTTGCTCTCCCTAGTTCCATACTGTCTGTAAAGTAAACCAGCATCAATAACGAAAACAGATTTAGAATTAAATCACACCAGAAATTGGAAGAAAACCACAATAATCATGTTATGCTATGACAGGCAAAAAAGTTGAATCATAATAACAACAAACTCAATTAAAAGCTTTTGTACAACAGTTAAAGTAAACCAGCGAGTGAATTTCAATAAGGATATAGACTGAAGAAGCTAAAAGAAAATGAACACAAGATTGGTTCACATTAATCTCCTCATATGAACTTTAAGGTTATAGTGTTATAGGAAAGATAGCCATAGAAAGCAAGACTTTTAAACACAGCTGAGGCAACACAAGCAACTAGCTTGGCTATTTGGAAAGTATGTGGTAACAAAAAATGGCAATTTGAAAAGAGTAAAAGAATGTTTTCAAAAGAGAAAAAAGAAGGTACCAGAGAGCAGAGAAAGAGTGAATTTCTAGAAATGTTTTTCATGTTTTCTATTTTTAAGAGGATTATGGGTTTTCTTTGCAATTGCATTGTGAGATAACAAGCTAGTACCAAAATTTCATCAGAAAATAAGTCCAAATATAGCAGAATTTATAACAATAGAAAGCATAATGGATCATTTACGTTGAAGAAAATGTTGTATTTTTTACATGAACCCTACTATTCCTGATGCGGCCAAGTAAAGGAAATTCTGCTATTCCCAAAGTTTGTACTCTCTATTAACCACAAAACCAGTTCTTAGATGGTTCAATCATGCAACAGTCTATATCACATAAGTTTAGCATATACAACTCCTACACAAGTAAAAGGGAAATACAAAAATAATAAACCAAAATAGAAACCTTTGCTGCAGTGACATTCATGGAGAATAAAAGAAAAGTTCAGATTTTCTATTACCTCAATAAGATATGGTAAATCATACTTGCAAATGTTGTATCCAATTATAATATCAGGTTCCACTTCACGAATAAATTCCTGCAAGCAAAACCTGCTTGTTAAACAAGAGTGGTGTAAACAAAATGGAAATTCTCTTTTCATGTGAGATTGGCTATATTCTTCAAGGAACAGGTTCAGTAAAAGGGAAATTGATCATATCATTAGCTTAAGAGCCATTGAGACTTAAAGAAGTAGTATGTTGGACATAAACTTAGAGTTATTCATAATGTTTTGATGATCTCTATAGTGTACTTAGGTGACTGGAAGAAAGGCAGCTTTATATTTGGCTTAAGAAAGCACATGTTTTCTGGTTTTTGCATTTCCTGCAGTTTCTCAGTTCTAAGCAAATGATTTTATCAAATGGAATAGAAGAAGAGAGTAGAAACAAGGATGAATAAGGAAGTTGCTTTATGAATGTCTTAACAGGTATAGAAACAATGTCTCAAACAACTTGGAAAAGAAAAAGAAAATCACTTATCAAGGAATTTAGTAATATGCACATACTGTACATGCCTAAGTTGCAAAATAAAACAGATATGTTTAAGACAAAATCAGTACCCTCCAAGCCAGCAAGACTTCTTTTTCTGAATCAAAAGACATCACATCAACACCAACTATTGGTGAGCATTACTTAAGGTTCATGACATTCCTGATGAATGGTTGATCTTCTCCTTGCAAAGTAACTAGATTTTGCCACCTAGAATGAAATGAAATTTTTTTTCAGAAATAGTGAAGAACAATGACCAATCAGTTTTGCCCAAAATCAAATTGGTGACTTGAACACAGAAAGAATACCTGAATTACAAGATAATGGGTAGGCTCTGGAAAATGACCTACTGGCGCATTCAATGTCAAAACTCAATCTGCGAAATGGAGCCATCTTTGAGAATTCCCCCTCAATGGCATGGCTAATCAACTCTGAATACCTAAGAACAATAACAGGGAAGGGAATTAAACAAGGAGGATAAAGAATCAATAATGAACTGGTTGAAATGTACTTAAATAGACTAAAGAAGAGATTACAAGCAATGAAACTCCAACTGGCAGTAGGACATATTCTTTGGTGTCTTCTTATATTTACCAGCTGGTATTTCAATCCAGTTACCACCAATGATGTTGCAATCAATCATGAAACGAATGCAAAAAGAATATTGCTTTCGTATGTCATGAAGCTCTTCAGACCAAGTCCATCAATTTGTATGCCTCTATCAAGAATGCCTGCAAATAATCAGTGATTAACAAGCCTCCAGATATAAAAAGAATCATGGAGGTTTCTAGATGTTCAATTATATGCATAATTAAGAGTTCACATGAGGAAAAATGTAAATCAAAGACAAAAAGTAATTTCAATGACAGTAAATGCATTTCATGCAGTGAAGGCAACTCAAAAAATATATATACTGTAGAAAAGTATCAGGAATTTTACCACGACAGCTAGTAACCATTGTTGGCAATGCCACTACAATCTTGAGAAAAGGTTGAGACTTTTGTTGCTGGTAATACATAATACTCCTTTTCTGAACCAGTTCAATTCGTCTAACAAACTTTGGTACCTTACTGTTTCTGTTCAGATCCTTCATCCTCCCCTGAAACAATGTAATTAAAATAATTAAGAAGCAACTCATTAAATGCAAATGTAACCTAAGGAAGTGGTAAAACCAAATACCTCAAGGGTTTGGTGAAAACTGGATATATCATCGGGACCCATTACAGGAGGGCAGCTAATGTAGAAATATGGCTCAAATCCATGAACAAGACAACAAACACTGTGTCCTACAAATCACCAATAGAAGCCATTCATCAGATTGACATGAAATGTACAATTTGAGATTTCTTTCATTTTTTTCCAAATGTGATATCATAAAATCAAAATGATGATTTTGTTTATCAGTATGCAAATATGGCAAGCCTTCATCATAAAAAAATTTTCAAATTAATAACAAAAATTGACATAATATTAAATTTTCTTTAGCATTCTTAGCAGCTAAATATCACTTAAAATACCTCCTCTTGTAACCCCGAAAATTCGGATAATGGCGGCGGGACCAGAAGAATCAGGCTGCAAATCTTTTTTACTCTCTCCAATCACATAATCAATCTCCAATTGCTGGAAAACTAAAACTCCACAAAAAAAAGCTCAAAATTTTCCACGACAACCTTAAAAATCAAATATTTACTTTAAATGATTGGCTTTTTAAACTTACCAACGCAACGAGACTGGGAAAGGTAGGCATCAGAGAGAGGAGGGCGGGTCCACTTGGAAAGGCGAGAAGCAAGAGCTTGATGTTCCATGAAGTCCCGGAGGATTAGGGATTCCACGTCTTCTTCCCCCATGAGGGTGTGGTCAAGGAAGACATCTTCGTCAATAAAATCTTCTTCCGTCGGAGGTGGGAGAGGCGTCGGTGCCGTAGCTTGGTGCTTCGTTGCCGGAGATGGTTGGTGTGACGACGGCGGTGGTGGCCGCTTCCATGGGTTGAAGCCGTTGTTCATGATTCAGTGCTTCGTTTTGGAGTATGGAGGGACTTCAAGGAGGTTTGGGGAGTTGAGAAGAGTAGCATTCCCGCCATTTTCGGGATTTTATACGAGAAGGCAATGTCACGTGCCTTGCACGTCATTAGAGTAACATAATTTTGTAATTTTGTAAATTTTAATAATTTTGTAAATTATTACTCTTTTGTAAATTGTATTTTAATAATTTTGATGAATATTTTATAGAAAACTAATATTGTAAATTAATGAAAATGAAATATTTATATTAATGAATTGAAAGCTAATATTTCTTTTCTTCCAAAATGTTTAGATATTATTAATTTTTATGAAATTAAAAAAATTTTAATTTTAATGTATTTAATATTAAAATTTGAATGTTTTATTAAATTAAAATTTTATTTTTTTTAATGTTAAAAAATAATTTTAAAATATAAAAAATTTAGATATTTAAAAAATATATTTTTAAAATATCTAAAAATATAAAAAATAAAAAATAAAAAATCAAATTTTTAAAAATGAAAAAAAATACAACCAATAAGTTACAAGCCTATTAGCACCTAGACGACATGCCACGTCACTCTTCAAAAGTAACGTACAGCAAAGATTACGCCATGTCATTACCCTCCAAATAGGGGACAAAACTGCTATAGACCATCAACGTTCTTGTTTCTCCGTATTCTTCCTTTTCCCTCTCTCTACCCTAACTCAGCCGACATATTTTGAAAAACCCTATCCTACAAATATTCGGGTTCCTAATTGACCCCTTAACCTGCTCCATAGGCAGGTTTGAGCTGCTCTCGGTTAAAGTTTCTGTTTTTGTTTACATTTTTTTTATTGATTTCTTGTTGCTTTTAAAGGTTAACTTTTGCATAAATTTATGGTTTTGAGTTGTTAATCTGATGAAATATGGGATTTTGAGACTTGGGTTTGTTGATATGAGTGATTTGAAATATGGGTTAATGGTGAAAGTGCTTGATTCCTTTTATTTTGTTTGTAATTTGTTTATCTATAGTATTGGGTCTTTCTTGTTGTTTAATATGGTGAGTTGGCTTCTGAATTGGGATCTGTTTTGAATGATGTGTTCAAAAGCTTTAGATTTTAATCAAGTGAAGAACTTTTGTTGAATGTTATTAAGGTTAAAACGACAAATTTGGGTTGAACTGTATGTAAGAAATGTTCGTGAGATACATTGAGATTGTGAGAAGAATGGTGTGGTTAGCCTAGGCTTTTGGCAACTAAAGTTTAGTTAAGCATTGCTGCCAAGTTTTGATTTCACTTGTGGATCTTTTTATCTGAAGGAAAAAGATATATTGGAATTTTATAACTCATAAATTTTGATGTTCATTCAATTTATTATGTGGGTGATTACTTCAAGTTGTGACAACCAACAAAATATTGAATTCCAGTCGTGTTAGGCCTCACAGATCTGGCTCTACAAATGAATCTGTGTTTAATGTAACTAAAAGGAACTTTTGAAGAAGTATAGCATTGAGACTAATGGGTAGCCAAGTTTTAGGAGTAGACTGAAATCTTGTGAGAGTTTGAGTTACAATGTATTTGAATTATGAAATATTTGTCCCTACGTTATTTTCAATGAATTTTTGCAGGCAGACCTTCAGTTTTTCCATATAACATATACAAATTGGTGGAGATACTATGCAGGAATCATATTCTTGTGTTCTCGTAATATGTCTTATTGGCTTATTTCTGTGGTGGAATTTGTATTTTGGAATTTATATCATCCTTCTCTCCTTGTGCAGAAGATTCTCATCCTGTCTTGCCAGTCAAATTTACTGCTTTTAGAAGCTTCAAAATGTCAACTGGCCCTGGGCTTGAGTCTCTTGTAGATCGTAAGCATACTGTGATAACCTATTTGTTTCTTGTAATGCTTTTAAGTATAGCAACTATAGCCAAATTAACAGTGGGACTTAATACGCATCAACGGTCAAACTCTTCTGTTCTTTATATTCTTTATTGGCATTTTTGGTCAAAGTTAATTGGGCGTTGGCATTATTTATTCTCTCTCTGAATCATTTCTTTAATGTGCAGAGACAATCTCGGTCATTACAAATGATGGACGCAACATAGTGGTATGTTAAGGAATTCTTGCTTTACATTTCTTAATCTTTTTAAATAACACATTTTTCACCTAATTTTAATTTATTTTTAGTTTCAGTGAGATCCTAATCTCCACCATTACACCTTTGTTTTTCTTCTTTCAAGTACACAGGGAGTTTTAAAAGGCTTTGATCAGGCCACAAATATCATTCTCGATGAATCTCATGAACGTGTGTACTCCACAAAGGTTTGTGTCATTATTCAACAAGCTTCCTTTTTATTATTTATTCCTTTAATCACTAGGCACCTAGTTTATTGGAGAAGCAAAAGGTTTATCTTTATCATAATACTTTGAGAAGTATTAATTTATTTACTTATAAACAACTCCATTATCTTTATTTGATCTGTTCTCTCTTTTCTTCTTTTTCTTTATCCCAAAATATAATATAATTCAAACCCTTGGTAGAGTTTTGTTTATTAATTCTGAGTTGAAATTTGCAGGAAGGTGTTCAGCAACTTGTGTTGGGTTTGTACATAATAAGAGGTGACAACATGTATGTCACTTTTCAGCTTCCTTTTCTATTCATTATTCTGTTCTTTGACATTTTTTCTTAGCTATGACTTCCTTTCTATAAGCTGTTCCATAATTCTTGCAGAAGTGTTGTTGGCGAACTGGATGAAGAGCTTGATTCTGCTCTTGACTTATCAAACTTGAGAGCACATCCTCTGAAGCCTGTTATCCATTGATTGAACCACGAAAGTTGTAGAGTTGCAAAGAACAGCATGTTGGATTAAATAGCTAAAGAAACATTTCACAGAACAGAAATATGATATGAGAAACCCAATGTGTAATACATTTTGGATTTATTTCTACGTTATATCTTATTGGTAGCTGTTTTTCATGCTTCTTTCCTTTGATCATGCTTTATGTTCTGTAACAGAAATATAATCTTTTCTGTTAACACAAGATTAGCTGAAAACAAATAATGAAACCAGAAAACGGGAAAGCAAGCCTCTATTCAAGTTGTGTTGCAAATTCAACTGAAAATAAATAAATTTTCTGTTTTGTGAAACTTCAGTGTCATGCGTACAAATGAAATATCCTCTTGCAAAACCAAGATTGTGATAACAAGCAAAACTTTAGGTATTCTTAGTGAGGCGGAATTTGGGATTGCATTTACTTATTCTTTCATTCTTTGGCCCACCTCTGATGCCTATCTGGGAAAGAAAATTACAGAATAGTAGACCTAAACAAAATTGAAAGAATGGCTTGTTCAATTGATCAATCATCCAAACAGACTATCTTTGAGGTTTCCACGGGTGAACAAGCTGTAAAATGCATCTGTGTTGTCACCTCCATTGCTTCCAGTTACTTTTGATGGAAGATCAGTTGGATTCATTGTTGGTGGTGCAGCCTTTGCAGTAAGACCAGTTGGATTTGCTGCTGAAGATGCTGGCTTTTTTACAGATACAAATGCCACTTTTCCATTAGACATCACTTTTAAACTATCTGAGCTAGCAGAAGTGCCAGTGTCTGCAGGCAATAGAGCTTTCGGATCCATTTTTCAACCCAGGGGCTTCCGTAATAACAGTGGTATCTACTTTTTCAGCAATTCAACCTGCTTCTTGTCCTCCTCCTCAATCAAGGGGTCTGTTATAAAGTCAGTTGTAGACTTTTTCATATGAGGTAATCTTTCTGCATCAGCCTTCTCGGTAGTTGGCTGGTTCATAGACGATAATTTTTTCACATGAGGTATAGCAGTCAAACATTCCTAAGGGTTCAAAGTAAGTACTAATCAGACAGGAACTATATATACCAAAATTTGTTTTTAATGCGCTGGTTCCTAGCTGCACTCACACCTAAAAGGAAACTAACAACCTCTGTAGCCCAGTGAGCATGGCAGATATAGAACTGTGCAGTAAAACAGCAAACGGGTAAAGAGTGGAGATGTTGGATACAAAAGAAAAAGACGCAAAACTAGAAAATACGATGAATGCTTTCACCTCCTAGAAAAGACTCAATAGTCTTGTACCGCACTGCACTATCTCCTATTGAAACTTCTTCACCAGTGTCCCCTTCTTGCATTTCAATCTCACATTTAGTCATCCTCTCAACCAATACAAACTTATTGTTGTTCCAGACACGCTCTAGGGTGACATAGTCCTCTTTTTTTGGATAAAATTCTCTATATACCTACACCATTGCGAATGAAAAAGGCTTAGGAAACTGCTCTAAGCAACAAAACTTTAGTAAAAAGAAATGGTTGTGGACCATTATGGAGCATGGATCAACCTCAATTCCTTCGTGAGTTATTTTTACAGAGTGCTTCCTTTGGGAGAGAGAAACAGACAGTATTGAACGCTGAGACAATACCAAGTAATATCTGCAAAAGGAAAACAAAGGCAGAATTTCATGCTATTTAGAACATGTCCATTAACCATGTAAACTGGGTCATCACACTATAACCCAGCCGGGCTTCGCCGCTTCTACAAAATTTGACTATTAATTGGAAGTTTTATAACTTACTTGTTCAACCAAAACTCGAAGCCGTGAAAGGAGAGCTAAAATATATATATAATTTAATATTAAATAATTCGATTCAATTAATTTTGAATCGACTTGAACACGTTATAAAATTTTTTAAGGGTTTTGGGATGAGAAAAAATATGGAAAGAAAATAATTTATATGGGCCTAGATCATATAAGGACTGGGTTTGAGATTTCACGGGCTGAAGAAGATTACTATAAAGGAGGAGATTTGGTTTTGGGCCAAAATTGTGAAAGATGACCCAATGAATTTGGGCTCCAGTAAAAACCTAACTTTGCCAGAAAATTTTGTTTTAACTTCAGGTATTTTGGTGTTATTTTGAGATATTTTCAAAGGAATTTTTCTTATTCGCCCTAATTTACTTGAGTAGGGATATGGGATAAGTGCTATTTTACCTGATCCTGTATCTTTATCTGATTAAAATTTTAAAATTAAACCTATTTCCTTCCACATCTCTAAAATTTAATATCCATTTTTATCTAATTCAAATAAAAAATCAAAAATTTCATTAAGTTTGTATAAAATTGACATATCTAATATAGAATTAGGATTATTGTTGTTTATGAAAAAATTAGTTGTCCTTAGAAAACATTAAAACCCTTTTTGAAAAATATATAATTTGATAGATAAGAAAATGAATTTGGGACTTTTTTTTTAAAGATTAAAGATATGATTTGTTGAAAATATTAAATAAACATTAGTTTATTGTAAAATTTATTTATATAAAAAAAGTCGTAACTTAAAAAAAATATGTGTTGAGATTCGAATTTTAAACTTATCATATATCACATTTTAAAAATGATTGCGAGTTAAGTCGTGGATTTGTTTCATAAAAGATATTTAAACTAAATATATTTTTATCATATCATATCGTCAATTTTTTATTAAAAACTTGTTTAAAAAGTTTTGTTTATTTATTTATTGACATAAACAGATTCTTTTATTTTGCTGACTTAATTTGGCTTGAGTCAAGTGAAAATGGTTAAGCAACAATGGGTCCTTTTACAAGCCACAATAGTTGATTGGCAGATGCACTGTTCTTTGGCTAAATGGTTGGTGTGGTCTGGTCTGGTTTTGTCATTGTCATCTAACCAACCATTTGAAAAACCTTTGAGAACAACAATACTTTGCTTTCTCTCCTTCTTACCTTATCTTTTGTCCATTGGCTTAAGATATGTATCCCAACTTTATTTGAAGTAGTGTTTGTTCTTTTATTTATTTGGGAAAAAGAAAAAAAATTCAAACTTGCTCTTTAAATAAGATTATATGAACACGTATCGTTGAGCCAAATGTTGAACTTTGAGGTAGTGTTTTCTCTTATTTCACCCGAAAAAGGATTGAAGATGGCGTATAAAGGTCGGAAAATATTAATGTTGGTTACCCTTAATTCTAATCCATTTGATTTAGAAAACTATATATAGGAGATTGCTGTTTATTTGATTAGTTCGGTTAATTTCAAATCAAATTATTTAAAGCCTAATTAATTGAATTATATTATTTTATTTTCGTTAATTGAATTAAATTTATTAATTTCAAAAATTAATCTACCAAAAATTCGATTAATTTTTTCGGTTAATTGAATAATAAATATAATTAAATTAAATTATATTTTAAACTTTTAATTTCTTAAATTTTAAATAAATTATATAAAATAATCCAATAAAATATTTAAATATCAAAGTATTATCTTAAAAACTCTAAAACATATGAAATAAAATAATCAATTTCATGTATTTTTTAATTTATGTTTGGATTTTGCTATATTTCAATTAAAATTTTGGTTAAAAACCGAATTAATTGAAAATCGAAATTCTTCTAAAATCACTTTTATTAACCAATCGAAATTAATTCGATAACCAACCGATTAACTAAATTAAATTGATTCGATTGATTAATTTGATTAAACCGAATTATTAAAATCTCTATGCCTTAATATTATAGCAAATTAAATTTATGTACCAAACTTAACAAAAGAGAGATTTCAATCTTCAGCTTTGACTCTCTCTCTCTCTCTCTCTCTATATATATATATATATATATATAATCAAAACTCTTTAATATATTAGTAAATACCAATAAATAGATGTCATTTGGTTTTGTTATATTGCTAAGTGCATTGATATATGTTTAAAGTCTTAAATGAATTACTCCTTTCTCATTCTTTATAATGGTGATGATATTAGATAATGACATTCTTTTATGTAGATATAATAAGTCAAAAAGCACAATTTAATTAGTAGATATATACACCTTAATTTGAGTCCTCCCATCTTAGATATTGTTGAAAAAAATATTGATAATTAACATTAATTTTGAACAAAATAAGTGTATTCGTACACACAAGAATTCGAGAAGATTTGAATTTAAAATGATTTAATATCTCATATCTCTTAATTTAACATTCAAAACTAAGGATAATGAGCTTAAATATTGTTGCAAGAATATTGTTAGGTGAAATGGTTGTCCCAAGAAAATTAGAAGTTATTACTTAAACTAAGATTACTTATACAAATTGATTTTCACATGTAGCAAAGGGAAGGGAACTTCCCTTGAAAAGTTTCTTGATGTGTTGTGCAAACCATCATTGAATTGGTAAGCCTTTTTCACTACCTTTTGTTTGGTACTAAAATTGGAAAAAAATAAAAAAAATTACAATAAAAAAGAAAAGAAAAGAAACCTAATCATAAACATCATTATCAAAATCCTAGTAAATTTCATAAAACATTTTTAATCAAATTCTAGATCAAGAAAATGTTAGCAGCATCATTAACATACATATGTATAGAATGATAAGACTAATATAAGATTTTTTTACTTAATTTTTTATTCTTTAATTATTATAGTTTGGTATTAGCTTTTCATGTCCTACCCAACTCCATTAACCTTTTATATATATATATATATATATATATATATATATATATATATATATAGCAAACAAATTAGATTATGTAAATTAGTTTGGTGGTTCTGGTCCAATTGTCCACTATGGGCCCATCCCTCTTTTTAGGGCATTTCTTACCAAACGGATAATATTTAATTAATTATATTTCAATGTTTCTCTTAGATTATTGTAGATGTCGTGATCGTTAGCTTCACAATATAATACAAAGTTGACAATTGAATTATATCTAAAATACTTATTTTTTTATGGAAAAAATTAATACCCATAATTTTGATTATTTAATTACATTTATTTGCATTTTTTGTGTTACTTTTATTTATATATATCTTTATATATATATAAAGTAATTTTTTTATGTTATACTGATTTAGTTTGAATTTTTAACTTTAAACTCAAAATATCATAGTTCTAAATGATTAAACAATACTAATTAATTAAATTAAACTCTTTTTTCTTGATTAAAAGATCACATGGTATATATTTATAAATGACTATCATTAAATTTAATTTTTTTTTATATTTAAAGTAGATGTCGACAAATTTATCAATATTCCTAAAATGACACAAAATATAGATTAATTATATTGAAAATGCTATATGATTTCTAACAATTGCAATATCAATATGATAATTGACAAATATATATCCAATACATTTGGTATGGATATACTCCTTCAGTTCCAAAATATTTGTTATATATTGACTTTCACGAAATTAAAAAAAGTTTAATTTTAATGTATTTAATATTAAAATTAAAAAATAAAATTAAAGTTCCATGACTTTTAATGTCAAAAAGTAAAAAAAAAATCATAAAAAATAATTTTAAAATATAAAAAATAAAAGTTTTAGATGTTTTAAAAAAATAAAACATAATTTTGGGACATTCCAAAAAAGAAAAAATGAATAAAAAGATGGAACAGAAGAAGTATATAATATAGAGAAATTATTATGAATCATATAAAATCTTATATCATATATATATATATATATACAAAAGTTTTTGAACCCAAAAACCAAAGACCACTTTTGAGAAACATAGAAAGATTCAATTCATAATGACACAAACAAGAAGCATATAATTAACTTATAAATAAACCTTTAGCTCTTGTCAACTACCTATAGAGTTGTTGAACCATGAACCATTGGAATATGGTACTCAATTTATTAAATAGAACAAGTGAGGGCATAATTGGAAATGAATTCATCAAAATGAAATAGATATTACCAATGGTGGGTACATATGATAATAACATCCCTTAATGGAAGAGAAAATTATGGATATAGATAGATTGTAGATAAAAAATCAATGCCAACAATCCTAAGTTATCAAAAGCTATTTTTTGTTTTCTTTTTAAAATATTTTTGCTAATTTTTTTTTTTGAATCTATAGTGAAAAGAAAGGGTATAACAACATTTATAAACTACTATAAAGTATAGTTTATCTAAAAAAAATAGAAATGGTGGGGTTTATACGTCATTGTGTTGGTGTCTTTAGCTTTTGCTTTATTCTAAAAGATTTATATTGACCTATGGTCACTCAAAGTGTTTTTTTTATTGCCTCGAATTTGAATTTGATTTGAAAAGAGATTTAAAAGTTTTTTATTGTTCAAAAAGTATTTAAATCGGTTCAATTGATCTAAATCTATGAATTAAAAGACAAAACTTTTATGGTTGTTTTATGAAGTGTTTAAATTGGTTCAACTTATCTAAATCTATGAATTAAAAGACAAAATTTATGGTTGTTTTATGACATTGATTATGTTGAATCATATAATTTCTCTGTTTACTTGTGAACAGTTGCATCTATAATATTCTTTTTATCTAACATTCAACATTTAAGTATCAATTTAATTGGTTGTTTGTCTTCATTAATTCGAGAACGTATTACTTATAATTTTTTTATTATAATTCTATAATTATTTAGTATTAAGTAGGGGTTCATTACTTATAGGTATGGACTTTACATAAATTTTTGATTGATCCCAAATAATTTTGAATTGTTATTAGTTAATTGTATTACAACAATTATAGATGAAATGCACCCATTAATCCAGAATTTTGTCCTTTATGTTTGTCACTTGAAAAATCAATGATTGCCCAATTTTTATAACATTTTTTGAGCATAAGTTTCAAACTTAAAAGCATGTTCACTTTATATATATTATTCTTTGAAAAGAAAAACTTATGAAATTGTTATTTCAAAAGTAAAATTTGAGACCTACTTCTAATAAACCTTTTTCTTTTTGTTATTTTCATAATTAACAAAAATAACACCTTTTGAAAGTTCAAATATCTAATTTCCCACATATTTTTATCTTGTCCAGCATAATGTGTTTTTATTTATTTTCTTTTACTTCATTTTAATTGGTATGTAGAAGCATTATTCACATTAACACCAAACCCACTAATCATATTTAAAGCAGGAAAACAATTATATGAATAATTATATTCATTTTATACCAATGTGAAAGAGTGTGCTTTTAAAATAATCTTTAAAGAGATTAAAATTAGATAAGATTAATATATATATATACTATTTTAATCCAATAATAAAAAAATGTAATATTTACATTAGTGTACGTAAGTGAATCCATCCAAGAAATAAATAAATAAATAAATAATATATATATTATATCATCTATATCTATACGTAAAAGTGTGAAATGTTAAAAATGATCGATTAAAATACCCTTTAAAATTTATTGAATTAACAATTTATATCTTTACAAATTTTATGTATTATTAAAAGTTATTTTAAGTAATATTCATAGTAGAATTAATTAATGTATTAATTAATTAAGATGACTAAAATATTTTTCATAGACTTCTATTTAAACACAACTAATTGTAAATGGAAATAGAATTATTATTACCTTAGATAATAATGTCAAACAACCTGGCAAAAAATTATTATTAGTTTAGATAATAATGTGAAAATCCATGGTATGCATGCTTGCACAAATACTTTTACTTTTTACTCATTTTTTTTTCATTAATGTTAACCAATGTACAATATGCTTGAATCAAATAACAAAACAAAACACTTGGGACCTAGCTCTATAAATGAAATAATAACACAAGATGAGTCAAGAGTTGCATGTGTTTTAATACTATTTTGATAAAATTTTGGTAATTTTTAATATAATTTTCATGACATTTAATACTATTTTGGTAACTTACTATATGACTTAGGTACTCATTAATACAATTTTGGTAATTTTTAATAAATTTTTTGTAAGTTTGATATAATTTTGATGGTTTTTAATACAATTTTAGTAGCTTATGATATAATTTTGATAACCATTGATATAGTTTGGGTAACTTTGAATACAATTTTAGTAAGTTTTGATATAATTTGATAATCTTTTATATAATTTAATTTTGATAATTTTCATATATTATGATGACCTTTATTAGAAAATTGATAACTATTAATAAAATTTGGTAACTTTTAGTACTATTTTGATAACCATTGATATAAGTTGATAACCTTTTATATAAATTTGATTTTGATAACTTTTGATATATTGTAGTAACCTTTATTAGAAGTTTTATAGTATTTCATAAAATTTTAGCAACTTTTAATATAATTTTGGTAACCTTTACTACTATTTTGGTAACTTATGATATAATTAAGTAACATTTATATAATTTTTGTAATTTTGGATAAAATTTTAGTAAGTTTAATATAATTTTGGTAATTTTAGATATAATTTTGATTTTGATAACTTTTTAATAAAACAATTAGTAAAAGAAGTTTGAATTTAATGAAGTAATAATGTTATTATATATATAAAAAATTATCTTATATTTGAATAGAACTCACGCTTTGCTATGAGAATCAATTATTAGATATATGATATCATAAATTTTCTCAATAATTATCAAAAGTATACAATAAATTATCAAAATGATATGAAAAGTTATCAAATTACCTTAAGAGATTACCAAAACTTTATAAAATTTACCAAATTTATATGAATGTTAAAAAATTATGTTATAAATTACCAAATTAAATTTGAAGGTTACTAAATTTGTATAAAAAATTTACCAAAATTTAATCAAAGGTTATGAAACTTTTAATAAAGATTACCAAAACATATTAAAAATTATCGAAACCAAAGTTATATCAAAAGCTATCAAATTTTACTTATATATACTAAAATCAAATTATTAGAATTTCTAATTATCATGATATCCAAAAAAAATATTTATTAAATTAAATTTTTAAAAATAAAAATCACACATCACGCACGTGCAAAAAAGCTAGTATATATATATAAACCACTTTTTGAGAATATATTGACTACCACAATCCCGAACCTAACACTTTAATTCTTCTTATCTTAGCAAAACACCATATTCTTGTTTTTCTAAGCTTAAAAAACACCTCACAAGATGCTTGTGCTTTTGTATATAGGCAAAGATTTATTCCTCCAAAAAAAATAAAAGAAAAATAAAATATTTTGTCTTCTCGAAATTACCCTTTCAACAAAATGACCATATTACCCTTGTCATCTTTATGTAATAGTCTTTGCATACCCAAATGCCCATTCTACGTAGACCCCAAGAAGCCGGCATTTTGGATTGTTTGGGTATAAAAAAAAATACCGGTCAACCGTTATCCCTATTGCATAACAAATATGCTAGTTGGCCTTGTTGGTAAGTTGAAAAACACCAAAACATAACCCAAAGAACACAAAATACTATGTCAAAGCAGCAAACAATCTTCCATTTCCATGTCCGAAATCATGCATGAAGCCACCGGAAAGATGACACAACTTTATAGAAAAATTGTTCATGTTAATATTAAGAGGAGTATACTAGAAAAAGTATCGATTTTTCGAAGATTTTTTAGGTTCATTTGGGATAGGATTCTTGTTTGTTCTACAGGAAGGTCTGTTCACTATAGGAGATTGGCTGGAAGGGATTCTTCTTCTCCGGTTGAAGGGGTGGTGGTAGACGGTGACGAGGCCTTTCCGGAGGACCATCAGAGGATGATATGTAATGGGTATGAGACGGATTCGGATTTGGTTAGTTTGAAGATCAGTTTGCTAGGTGACTGCCAAATTGGAAAAACGAGCTTTCTGGTAAGCACATGAGGTTTTGGTTCTTTTTTTTTTTTGGTTTTCTGATGTTTGGTAATGACTTAGCTTAATGAAAATTCACTTAAAATGAGTAGGTTTTAATGGTATTAACTGTTTTTTGAAGATCAAATATGTTGGGGATGAGCAAGAAAAAAGCTTGCAAATGACAGGGTTAAATTTAGTAAACAAAACATTATTTGTTCAAGGTGCCAGGATTGCTTTCAGCATATGGGATGTAGGAGGTATTTTAATCAACGAATTTGTTTTTACCTTTTTGGGTTATTTGTTTCTTGTCTGTTTTTGAACTTTCACCTATGTTGTTTCGCTGCAAGTAGATTTTTTTCTGATTATTTGGTTGCAGGTGACTGTAACTCACTTGATCATCTGCCAATTGCTTGTAAAGATGCAGTAGCAATTTTGTTTATGTTTGATCTAACTAGTCGATGCACCCTTAACAGGTTAGTTTAAAACCTGTTTTTCAATTGGAAAAAGTACTGCAATTGATTGTTTTCTGATATTTGCATGTTTTGTTGGATTTTGCAGTGTTCTTGGATGGTATAGTCAAGCAAGAAAGTGGAATCAGGTGCTAAATTTTCTTTCCTTTTAACATAATCAGTGTTTCTGATAGAAATTCATGGTACTTTCCTGTCAATGAGCAGTTAAGATTTGCTGGTTTGTCCAATGTTTCCCACTCCTGAGAAAGGGGTCTTGATTCTTGAAACTGCAAAATTGAATGATGTTTACATCAATAATTGCAATTTTAAGCCAATAATTAACTGTTAATACATCAATAATTGACACTTTAGGAAACAACTTGCTCTTCTGAATGAATGTGGGAAGGATGAATTAATTTTAATGAGGAAATCATTAGATTGATGTCAAATTCAGGCTTTACTGGCAAATAATAAAGAGGATGGATGTCAAATTCAGTACATGGACCATAAAATTAGTGCCCCATTTCATGGATGGTCTGTACCAGAAAAGGATTTTATGGGGTGGAGCCCTTGAAATTCATGATGGTTTGGCTGTTCTTTATATAAGTTTCCAGCTTTTCAAGTGTTTTGTCTTAATTTGCTTTTTCTTCCTTTTTTTTTTCCCAATATTTTGCAGACAGCAATTCCAATATTAATAGGAACAAAATTTGATGAATTTGTTAGACTCCCCCCAGATTTGCAATGGACCATTGTGACTCAGGTAAACAACTTGCATTTATTTGTTCTTTTGCATGGTTTGATTTCAGACTTTTCAGAACTTCTTTCTCTGCTTCTGTTAGTCTACTTCCAGTTTCTATTGTCATATGTTGCTTTCAGAAGTAAGAAAGACTCACAAATATTTTTGACCCAACCATGGAACCATATGTTACTCTCAATCTTCAATTTTCTATAACGTATTTGTGTTGAACACATATTCGAGACCCTAAAGCAAACATAGTAGCATAAATATACCCTTCTTAAACATGTATCTATTTCGGACGCTAATACTCGAGTCCAAGAAACATTAACTCGAAATACCTAAATCATTAGTGTTTCCTATATCTATATCTTATCATCAAATATTTAATTTTACCTTAACAGTGACACATTTGAAAAAGTGGAATGGGCTGTCCAAGGATGACTGAGAAGTCTTCCTTTGTCAATTCTCAGCCATTTGACATTTGTGATAAACCTCTCTTTTTCTATCCCAATCCACACTTAAAGAAGATTAAACACTAGGGGCCACTTGTTGATTAAAGTAGAAAGCTTGGAAATTTAATTACTTTAGGCAAAGAAACTTCCTTTAACAGTAATGAAACTTGCATTTTGTATTTGTTGAAACAGGCAAGAGCATATGCCAGGGCAATGAAAGCAACCCTTTTCTTCTCAAGTGCTACACACAATATCAATGTGAACAAGATCTTCAAGTTCATTATGGCTAAACTCTTTAACTTGCCATGGACGGTAGAGAGAAACTTGACTATTGGAGAGCCGATTATCGACTTCTAAAACCTGCTTTTTTGGGGGGTTTTCCCACTGACTTTTATGTGCACAGCCGAAAGAGAAAGAAAAAAAAAGTTTCTTCCATCCTAGTAGCAAATTGACCCCACAAACATCAATTGGTCATTCATTGTTTTGTTCTTTTCTTTTTATTGCTTTACTTTTCCTTGTAACATTTTAAACTGAATTCAAAGTTAGCTGATCTCTGATGTTTCAGTGATTTAAGTAACATATCATACTGTAAAATGGTTGTAACATACTGAGTCTTTTCATGCAGAAGATGAATAACAGAAATGTAATATACTAAGATCACGAGTTCCATGTTTTCATCCCTTCTAATTTAATATATTCAGTCAACTCTTTTTCCCATTCATTCCGCATAGGAGAATCTGCTTTTAGCTTTGAAGAATAGTGCAGATACTCTAAGAGTTTTCCTGAAAGAGTTCATTATTACTAAAAAAGAGTAAAAATAGAGAGGGGGAAACTGATGTTGCTTAGTGGAGTTGGAATAATTCCACTTGGTTTCCAAGCAACTTAAAGAATATGAAAATGGGAATAAATTATAAACTTCATAAAGGGAATGGGTCCTATAGATGCAATTTGAAGAGCCTGTCAGGGAGAAAGTGGGGGGGGGGGGGGGTGGGAGATTGTATTTTAAGACACGTTTCTATGCTCGAATCAACGAGGTACATGATAAAGAATGGAGTGTGTTTACGTGCTTAGTCTAACTTTGTTAAGAAAATAGGATCCAGCCCCATGTAAGTGGTTTTGGACCAAGTAAAGGTCATGGGCCTTGATCTTTTATTTTACATCGAGTCCTAACTACTTAATAAAAAAGAGGTGGGGTTGTTTTAAGGGTGTGTCGAAAACTAAGTAAAAAAAAAAGAAAAGCCAAAAAAAGCAGAAAGAAAAAGGAGAAGAGAGAGTTAGTTGAACGGAATTCGATTCGTGGTCCGATTGAGTTGGAACCTTATAAGGAGGTTTATGATTCAGAGTTCTACATTCTGAACGGTGAAGATTGGGTTTGAAGCTCTCTAGAAACAAATCTAAGGTGTATTTGTTGAGTCACTTATTTGGTGAGATTTCTCCAATTGTTTCTCTAGTTGTTGTTTAGCTCTAGTTTTAGTTAGAGAAGAACTTTGTATACCTATTATTTGATAGTAAATATTTTTCTGGTGGTCTGTGATTTTTTCTCTCTACACTAGAGGGTTTTTCACATAAATCTTGGTATGCTTTGTTTTTCCTGCGTTTTTGATTATTGATTGTTGTCTATTGCTTCTGTATTGTTGTGATTATTGCTTCAAGTGCAACAAGTGGTATCAGAGTGAGGGTTATTTTGAGATATCGATATAGAAACAACCTAGGATAGAAGTAAATTCTGTTTGAGATCATGGAGGGTGATACAAGTTTCATGATAAAATTGACAGCATTGAATTATTCAATTTGGAAGCCTATGATGGAGGATCATCTATATTGTAAAGATTTGTATGAGCCAGTATTAGATGATTCGGCTAAACCAGCAGATATGAAAGATGAAAGCTGAAAGAAGCTAGGTAGAAAGATGCTCGCTACAATCAAAAAATGAGTTGATATCAGCATGTTCTATCATGAAGCGCAGGAGTCAAATGCTCACATTGTTTGAGAAAAATTGGTAGCATTGTGTGAGAGAAAAATAGGTATGAATAAAGTTATGCTTGTTAAAAAGCTTACAACTTTACAGTACAGGAAGGGAGATCTGTTACAGAGCATTTGAGTGATTTTTAAGATATATTTAATCGGATGACTACTATGGAGCTTAAAATGAATGATTAAATAAAGGCGTTATTTCTTTTGGGTTCATTGTCAGACAGTTGGAATACTCTAGTTATGACTATTCTTAATTTAGCTCATGATTATAAGGTGACATTGGAGATGGTAAATAATAGTATGCTTAATGAAGAAGCAAGGTAAAAAAATATAGACCTTAGAAATCAAGCTCTGGTCACAGAGAACATGGGTAGAAACATTGACAAAGGTCAGGACTCAAAAGGTCGTGATAAGTCTAAATATAGATCTAAGTCTAGAGGTAAAGTGAAGTGTTTCTATTGTGGTAAGACAGGTCATATAAAATGAAACTGTAAAATCTTGAAGCAAGAGTAAAAAGATAAGAAAGATAAGAAAGATAAGAGTTAAGATGATGACAATGTTACAGCAAGTCTAAACATAGATCCAAGTCTAGAGGTAAAGTAAAGTGTTTCTATTGTAGTAAGACAGGTCATATAAAATGAAACTGTAAAATCTTGAAGAAAGAGCAAAAAGATGAGAAAGATAAGAGTTCAGATGATGACAATATTACAGTAGTGAATTTAAATAGTGATTCAGTTACTTTGATTTGTACACATGGTGATTGTAATCATGTTAGTGATCCCGACATTGAGTGAATAGTTGACACAAGAGCGTTATATCATTGTGTTCCTAAAAGAGAGTTGTTTACAACTTACAAAGTAAGAGACTTTAGTTGTACCAAGATAAGAAAATAAGAGTGTGTCGCAGATTATTGGGATTGGTGATATTATTATACAAACTAGTACAAACTGCATGTTGACTTTGAGGGATGTCAGACACATTTCAGATATGAGAATGAACTTGCTTGCTATTAATATCTTTGATAAAGAGGGATATGAAAATTGATAAAAGAATGGACAGTGAAAGCTTCTCAAAAGATCTATGGTAGTTGCAAGAAAAAAACTATGTTGCATAATGTATAAGACATGGGTGCAATTGAATGGTAACTAGGTAAATACTATTGAAGATGATGCTTCAGTAAACTTGTGGCATAAGAGGCTGGCACACATGAGTGAAAAGGGGTTACAGGTTTTGACAAGGTAGTCTCTTATTCCCTTGACCAAAGGTATGTCTCTCGATTCATGTGATTATTATTTGTTTGGTAAGCATCATAGAGTTTCTTTTCATAAAAGTTCTTAGAGAAAAGAAAATAGATTGAAATTAATTGATTCTGACGTATGTGGTCCCATTGAGGTTGAGTCATTAGGTGGTAGCAGATATTTTATTACTTTTATTAATGATGCTTCACGTAAGACTTGGGTGTATATGTTGAAATACAAAAGTCATGTACTACAATATTTTAAAAAATTTTATGCCGTGGTTGAAAGGATGACAGGGTTACCCTTGAAGTGTATTCAAACTAATAATGGTGAGGAATACACATCTAAAGGTTTTAAAGAGTATTATTCAAAGCATGAGATTAGGCATAAGATGATAGAACCTAAAATATCATAGCATAATGGTATAGCTAAAAGAATAAATCACACCATTGTGAAAAAAGTTAGATGTATGTTGAGGATGGTAAAATTACCAAAGCCATTTTGGGGTAAAGCAGTCAACATAGCTTGTTACTTACTTAATAGGTCATCATCAGTTCCTTTGGGCTTTGACATTTAAGAAAGAATGTGAACAGAAAAAGATAATTTATACTCTCACTTGAAAAATTTTGGATGTAAAATATTCATGCATGTGCCGAAAGAGCAGAGATCAAAGCTTGACAGTAAAGTCACACAGTGTATGTTTGTAAGATATGGTGATGAAAAATTTAGTTACAAGGTATGGGATCCAATAAAAAAAAAAGACAGTCAGAAGCAGAGATGTGATCTTTCATCAAAAAGAAACCATAGTAGACCTTGAGAAAAATGAGAAAACTACACGAGTTATTATTGAGTGTGATGTTTCAACACCGACAGAGATTCCATAAGAGAGAGCCACAGATGGTAGAAATGAGCAAGAAATAGAACTTGAGAATATGAATGAGCCAACCACAGTTGGTGATGAGCCAGATGCAATTCATTTTGAGTAGGGAGAGCAATTCTCTCTACTTAAGAGTGTTGAGTAGGGGAAGCTACCTTCGGCATCAAGTGATGTAGAGTCTCAGCCTAAAAGATCTACTAGAGAGCGCAGGCCATCTACCAAATATTTAAGTTTAGATTTTATTTTTGTTACCAGTGAAAAGGAACCAGAAAGCTTCCAAGATGTACAGGCTACTTCGAATAAAGAGCACTGGTTAAAAGCAATGAAAGAAAAGATGAAGTCATTGCAAAAGAATGGTACTTATGATCTTATTAAACTTCCAAAAAAGAAGAGGCCATTAAAGAATAAATGAATGTTCAAGTTGAAAAAAGATGGTGACAAACTAGTGAGGTAAAAAGCTCGATTGGTAGTAAAATATTTTTTTAAAAAACCAGGCATCGATTTTGATGAGATCTTTGCTCCAGTAGTAAAGATAAGTTCTATTCGAGTGGTACTGGAATTGGCAGCTAGTTTGAATCTTGAGTTTGAAGCTTGAACAACTTGATGTTAAAATTACATTTTTGCATAATGATTTGCAGGAGGATATTTATATGAATCAACCTGAGGTTTTGAAGTGAAAGGGAAAGAGCACTTAGTTTGCAAATTGAAAAAAAGCTTGTATGGCTTGAAACAAGCTCCGTGACAGTTGTATAAGAAGTTTGATTCTTTTATGGTGAGTCATAGCTATAAAAGAACAACAACGAATTCTTGTGTGTATGTTAAACAATTTTCTAATGGTAACTTTATTATCATATTATTATATGTTGATGATATGTTGATTGTAGGATAAAATGTTAGTATGGTTTGTAGGTTGAAAGAACTATTGTCTAAGGATTTTGATATGAAAGATTTAGATCAAGCAAAGTAAATTTTTGGTATAGACATTATCCGGGATAAAAGAGCTGAAAAGCTGTGGTTGTTACAAGAAAAGTATGTTGAACGAGTGCTTGGTAGATTCAACATGCAATATGTTAAATCAGTTAGCAGTCCACTTGCCAATCATTTTCATCTAAGTAAAAAATCTTATCCAGTGTCTAAGAAAGAGCAACTAACTATGTCTAGTATTCCTTATTCTTCTGCAGTCGATTTTTTAATGTATCTTATGGTTTGTACAAGGCCTGACATTGCTATGCAATTGGTGTAGTGAGTAAATTTCTTTCTAATCCGAAGAAGGTTCACTAGGAAGTAGTGAAATAGATTTTTAGATATTTGAGGGGTACCTAAAAGATGTGCTTGACTTATAGAGTTTCATAATCAGTTCTAGAAGGATTTACTGATGCTGACATGACATGCGATCTTGATGATAGGAAATCTACTTCAGGGTATTTATTCACTTTTGCAAGAAGAGCTGTATCTTGGCAATCTAAGTTGCAGAAGTGTGTTACTTTGTCAACTATAGAGGCTGAGTATATTGCAGCAACCGAAGCATGTAAAGAAATGCTTTGGATGAAACGTTTGCTTCTTGAATTGAGGTTGAATAAAAAAGAGTATATAGTATTTTGTGATAGCCATAGTGCTTTAGATTTGAGTAAGAATGTCATGTACCATGCTAGAACAAAGCACATTGATGTTAGATATTATTGGTTACGTTCAGTGATTGAAGAACATCAGATGCTGTTGAAGAAAGTCCATATTGATAAGAATGTAGCAGATATGTTGACTAAGATATTTTTCAGAAAAAGCTTGAGCTCTGTAGTAACTTGACCGAAATGAGTTCCTTAGCCAAGGTAAGTTTCAAATGAAACTGCTATGGTGATGAATCTCCTCCTAATGGGCTGGAGGGGTAGATTGTTAGAAAAATGAGGTCCAACCCTATGTAAGTGGTTTTGTACCAAGTAAAGGTCATTGGTATTGATCTTTCATTTTACACAGAATCTTAGCTACTTAATAAAAAAAAGATGGGGTTGTTTTAAGGGTGTGTCGAAAATCAAGTAGAAAAAAAAGAAAAGCCAAAAAAAGCAGAGAAAAAAAAGAGAAGGGAGAGTTAGTTGAACGGAAGTCGATCTGTGATCCGATTGAGTTGGAACCTTATTAGGAGATTTATGATTTAGAGTTTTACATTCTGAACGGTGAAGATCGGGTTTGAAGCTCTCTAGGAACAAATCCAGGGTGTATTTGTTAAGTCACTTATTTGGTGAAATTTCTTCAATTATTTCTCTAGTTATTGTTTAGCTCTAGTTTTAGCCAGAGAAGAACTTTGTATACCTATTATTTGATAGTGAAGATTTTTTTGGTGGTCCGTGATATTTTTTCTCTACACTAAAAAGTTTTTCACGTAAATCTTGATGTGCTTTATTTTTTTTACGTTTTTTATTATTAATTATTATATATTATTTTTGTATTGCTGTGATTATTGCTTCAGGCACAACAAACTTCACCTATTATACTTTATAAATAGCGTGGCTGGTTGAATTGTCAGGTGTCAAGCGTGCTGAGGTGACAGTCAGAATTTATGCTGGCATGGCTTTTCAGGTATAAGAGGTCCAAATTTATTGTTTATAGCTATTAAATATTTGGTCAAACATAAGCAACAAACCTACCCAGACAAAGTTTGAATAGCTATGAAATACCTTAGAATTTCTTTTTATCATTAATAAAATGCCTAAGAGGAAAACTCTCATAAGCACCCTTCCAATTCCAAATACTTTTAGGGAAGCAACCATTTACAGATTCATCAACAATTTCTTGAAGAGAATATCTGCAAATTATTAATTAATTCATGCATACAACAACTGGATTTTCTGGTTCAATAGATTGATATCTGTCGTTTCTTTGAGGCCTTTTTCAACTGCAGCAACATTTGAGCACTTGCTCTATATAATTCCAAATTGCCTCCATTGTCATCAGTTTCCCTTGAAATGTAAAGGTTCATCCGTTCCATTACACGTCCGAGGCAGATCAGGTATTGCAGCACCAGAAATTCATTCACAGTTCCTTTGAAACCCTTCACCTCCACCAATTTTAAGGTTCTGCGTATGCATTTGTGGACAACCAAGTTCTTTGTCCAAAACTCAGATGGATTGAACTCAAATAGGGGTTTGTAATCCTAGATAAAAGAAAAAAGTATCAACAATTTTTTCTAATTGATGATTGATAATCGTATCAAGAGCATGGGAGTTTATATATGTGGCCTTTGTCGGATAAGTATTCGAGTCAGACAGATATCTGGAAGATCTGGAAAATGGACGTTTGACCCTCCAAATATATGGAAAAACTTAGAAAAATGAACATGCTCATGTTGTACACACACCTAGATGTGACACTTTATAGAACATGGTATAGAATAAGTAATATTAACACATTGCTATAGATTTACTCACCGGGAAAACTCTTGCAGGGCATAGCTAAATTGAAAGACTCTCCAGAAGTGGACAAGTATTCATGAAGAATGTTATTCCGTAAAATTCATGACTATGTAAGGCAGTCTTCAATATCAGATGCCTGACATTCAAGGGAGATTCAGTACCAGTAGTCCCCTCTGAATATGGAATAACCTGGAAATGGAAGCACAAGTAATAAATAAAATATGTTAATTCAAGATGGTTTCATGCTTGATATTGATTGTACCACCAAAGTATATATAATATGCTTGTTGAAGGCATGGCAGAAATATTGAAATAAATCTCCAAATATTGAAACCAGACATGCTCATTGTCTGACATGAGTCCAAGTAACATAAAAAAATTGTTCAAAATCTTGACTTTAAAGGACAGAATCTGTCTCATCAAGAGGCAAAATATATGTAAGGTCCAAATAGTTATGTCTGAAATCTATCCAGTTTTACACCAATTAATCAGACACGATCAATTGAATTTCAAAAGACGGTTGGAATTAATTATGTAGAATAAAAGGAAAAAAAAAAAGAAACCTGACGGAAAGAATCAAGAGTTGTACCTGAAGCATGTAACTGCAAGCAGTCAAAATGGTGACAGAGAAAAGATCAAGTAGAAGATTATAAAGAAAATCACCATCGTTTGATCCGAAACTTGACTCTAACCCGAAATCCAAATCTGCTTCTTCCAAGCAGCATATGTGGTCCAAATCAAATATGGCTACTCTCCCTGAATACTTGATGAAACGCAGCTTTGGTGCACTGTCAATATATATCCAAATAGGATCATAAAAACTGCATCTGTCAATCACCAATTTTCTTAGCAGCAAGCATGGTTCAGACAGAACAAAATGCTCTAGGTTCCAACATTTGGTCAGACTCAAACTCTCTAGCAATGGACAGTATTGCAACAAGGTTTTAAAACTTCGCTTGTAGTTCAATCCAACCTAGAGAAAGATCCTTAAGCAGACTGAAATTTTTGAGTGCAGGCATGTCAATTTTACATGAAAACAATTTCAAAGATTCAAGAACTTCATGTGCATACACATGTGAAGACAAATCAAACAATGGTTTATGGTTTTCAGGATTATCTTCAGTCCATGTTGGATCAGAAAAATCAAGACTTAGCCTTTTGACATTTTTTGCAATGGCAAATGCTATAAAGTTTTCAATGTCAGCAACAAATTGTTCGGGCTTAAAGAATCCAAATGCAAACTTATCTATGCAGGGTTGACAGTAGTTCCAATCCATTGTTGAACAAAATCAATAAATTCTCTTCTTTTCATCACTTTGGTTGAATCAGATTCTGCAGGATCAACAAAGAAACTCTCGTCAAACTCTATGTTCCTTGTTGCACGCCAAAGGTTAAGCCAATGTTTGGATAATATGGAAGTTCTTGCCGCTTCCTTAAATGGTAAGAACGATATGATGATAAGGAGAAGACATTGGGGCAACTCCATGAACAGATCTTTGTTACCAGCCATGGCCTGCGCCTTAAGTTTCACGGAAGCAAAAAGTTATAAAACTCCTTCGTACTCTTCTGAAGTCAAAATCTTGGGTAAAAATGAATTTCAATGTTACTTGGATATTCTATATTATAGTGTATCTTATTTTGTATCAAATATGAACTTTTTTATGAAAATTTTATATCAACTCTTCATTTATTTTTATTTTTAACAGGTATCATTATGTACTATTTTAAGTATTTAAAGAATAAAATGAAAAAGCAGAAAACTGAATATTTCATTAACTTTATAGTTATTACCATATTAAGTTATTATTCTTCGATTTTTTTTTGAAGAAAAGTAACACTATATATATATATATATATATCAGCTTACAAGTCATTCATTTGTTTCTTATTTTAGTTTCACAATTTGAGAATTCAACTAATCTTAAGGTTGTTTTATGTTGAAATATTTTTAAAATAATAAATCACATATATATGTTATTTAGTAAAAATTGTATCTAAAAAATTACAGACATATATTTTGACACTTATATCTCGAATAGACATATGTTTGGACACTTATATTTATACAAGAGTTGTCTATGGAAAATTGTGTTTGAAAAAATAGACATATTTTGATAGTTTTGTCCACATCTGTGTGGACAATTATATTTATGCAAACAATTACCAGCTTGAACAGTTATGTTTGTAGATATCTATTTGATTATGAAAATTGTTGATAATTGATTCCTAAGTTGAGAGAAGATAGATCAGAGAAGACTTGTTTTGTGTTGTTAGACTCCCTTCCTTTGTCTAGAATATGTATGATCATACATTAACAATGCAATATTGCTTGTACATATAAAGTGCCCTTTACTCAGTATAGTTTTAATGACTACCAAAAATATATAGAAGGATGCCATCCTTTAATTATATTAATATTATTAATTTAAACTTGTAAAATGTATCAAATTATGGAACTAAGGAGGGAATTCAATTTGAAGGATATTTCTTATTCTTTTTAGATTAGAAGTACGTAAAAATTACGTCGATCGACTTTTGAATCGATTAATATGATAAAAATGATATTAAAACAGACGCTTGAGGATTACAAGTTGAAAAAAATTTATATGCGCAATATATTTTTCAATCAAATAAATTTAATGATAAAATAGATTTAGAAATAAATTAAGAATTAAAAAAAAAGGCAAAACATTCATTATTAAACAAGGCCAAAAACTTGATGTTTGTAAAACGTGTCATATTTTGGGTGGCATGCATGAGTAGGGGTGTAAACAAATCAAGCTATTCGTGAATTGTTTGAACTCAATTCCAAAGATACTCGAGCTTCTTAAGAAATTGAGCTTTGAAATTATAATAAGGAAAAGCATTTTTGCAAGAATTTTTGTTTTTGGTAGTAATTTGGAGGAAAAATATTTATGATTTGCGGGGAAAACTAGCTGGGATTTTGAAAGACTATGTTCGTAGGGAAAGTGCACTTTATTTTGCAGAGAGCATTGCAAGCGTCCTAATGGTGAAGGGCCATATATATACCATAAAAGGGAAGATCTTAACCACACCGGTGCTCACAAGATCAATAATGCTGTTGCTCAGGCATAGCTTGCCAAACGTTTGGGCAAGAACCGGATTATTGCTGAAACCGGGGCTGGTCAGTATGGAGTTGCAGCAGCTACTGTGTGTGTACGGTTTGGTTTGCAGTGTATTATTTACATGGGTGCACAAGATATGGAAAGACAGGTGCTTAATGTTTTCAGAATGCGGCTTCTTAGGGCAGAGGTTAATGTTTATATAATGAGACACAACTTGTTACACATTGTTGTAATGAAGATCCTATATTACCTTCCCTTTGGATTGGCTGATTTGCATCGTTTGATCTTAAGCTGTATCTTTTACCATATAGGTTAGAGCAGTTCATTTAGGTACTGCAACATTGAAGGATGCTACATCTGAAGCTATCCGGGATTGGGCGACTAACGTGGAGACAACAACTCATTATATTTTGGGATCTGTTGCTGGTCCACATCCATATCCTATGATGGTCAAAGAGTTCCATGCAGTGATTGGCAAAGAACTAAGAAAAGAAGGGCTGGGAAAATGGGGAAGGAAACCAGATGTATTGGTTGCATGTGTTGGTGGAGGTTCAAATGCTATGGAACTTTTCCATGAGTTTGTTAACGACAAGGATGTTAAGTTGATTGGTGTAGAGCCCGCAGGTTTTGGTTTGGATAGTAGCAAACATGCTGCTACTTTGACTAAGGGAGAAGTAGGAGTGTTGCATGGAGCTATAAGTTACTTATTACAGGATGAAGATGGACAGATAGTTGAACCGCATTCCATTAGCGCAGGGTAGGGATTTCATAATGAATTGTTCATTTTTATGCGGCTTGCTTTATTGTGCTTTGAATTACTGGCAACTTTTTGTTGTGGCCAACAGCTTGGATTATCCTCCTGAAAGATGAAGGGCGTGCTGAGTACCAGAGTGGCACAGATTAAGAAGCATTGGAAGGCATGAAACTGCAGTCCAATTTCTTTTCAAGGCTTCTGTCCTAGCACATCACTGCCTGTTGCTTTATTCTTGTAAAAGAAAATAATTGTTCATAGAAGCACATTATTACCTTTCACCTTTTCCTTTTTATGCTATATGTTCTTTAAACCTGTCTGCTAGTCCATTTAGAACATTGCTCGTTGCCTTGTCTGGTTACTTAAAAAATTTGAAGCTTAATCTATAGGACTTAGTAAAGTTTTATTAAGAGTTGAATATATTCCTTAGCTTTCAGTTTTGATTGACCTAAGTTTCACTTTTTTTCTTTAATCATATAATGTATCCGGAATCCCCACCTTTTTTTCTCTACAATTTTTTTTCAGAACTTATTTGGATACAAATAAAAGATTAAAGGTTTATTTAGGTGCAATTAAAAATTAAGGGAATGCAAAAAAAGTATCTTTAGAAAAATCCAAGAATGCATTTGATTGTTTTTCTTACACTGCTATGTTTTTGTTGATGTGTTATATCCACATTTTATTACCATAGATACTACTAATTGTTACTGATTCATGATTTTACTTTTCTTTATTGTCATTTCTTACAAAATCATTTTGAGATATGTAGCTTTCAAGAGTTTTTCTCGATTGGAAGGCATAATCACAGCTTTGGAGACGTCTCATGCACTGGCTTATTTGGAGAAGCTATGTCCAACTCTACCGAGTACCAATTTTGTGGTTAACGATAATGGTAGAGGTGGCAAGGATGTTCATACAGCGATTAAGCATTTGCAGGTGGTTTAATTCTTATGGTTTTACGATGCCATTAATTTTTATTCATTCTATGAATCTTTTATCAAAAATGTTTTTGTTTGTGCAAGCTTTGACTTTAGGGTGTTTTTGAAAAGACAAGAAAGGGAAGAGAGATGTTAGATGTAAAGGTAGAGAGTGTTTTATGCGTTTACACTTAAACATTCAAGTCAAAGATAAAAATAAAGGAGGTTGAAATGAGAAAAAAATAAGAAATTAGAATAAGATAGAATTTGAAATGATAATACTTGGATGCCCGTATTTATAAGTAAAAGACGAGAAACTTGTGAAGGACAATAATGATGTGGTTGAATTGATGTGATATTGAACATGTCAAATTAATTTGATATGTCAAGTCAACCTAAATATTTAAAATACCCTTGACTGTTTGTCAACCTTTAATAAGAGAAAAAAATTATAATACCTTTTTGAAAATTAAATACCTCAAATATTTAATCATCCTATCGAAATAGTGTGAGTATCAAAATATTGAATATGTGATTAATTTATTTTGTATATGTTTGTGGGCTTTAAAGGATTGCTAAGGATCCGACCCCTTTTGTTCGAGGTAGAATATTCCTGAGACTGATGTGATAAGCAAGCATCAGGGTCCTATACTTGTTGTTCAGCTCAATTTGAGCTATCCTGGTTTGTGCCGACTTTGCATAAATCTGATCTTGCAGGTGTGCTTTAGGTTAGGTATATGGTCTGTTTAGGATTTGCTGAAGTGGCTCTGCCTTGGGTGGCTGGAGGTGAAGACAAGGGGGTTTGGGTGAGCTGACCAAGTTCGTCTAGCTGATGTGACACTTAATGCTTCCCAAGGTTCATTTTTTGTTTATGCTCTAGAGTGATTTGGCAGTTGGTTTACCAAATTGGTTTGAATTGAAATTTTATCCGGTACCCGATTTGACCAATTTAAGTGGGTGAGATTGCATTTAACGAGGAGAGAGATTTTTTGGGCTATAAAATCCAGAGCGGTTAAGATGAAAAGATGCTTTCCAACGACATTTTGACACCTAGTACAATCTAGGCTGTTCATTTAATCTGGTTATAAAGGGTTATTGAGACTTTCATTTTCATTTTTTTGCTCTCAACCTAAACTTTTTAACCTAAAAGCTTTCTAGTCTTTCCCGACCTTAAAGTTTTCTTTCTTTCTAACTGTTTTGTCCTCTTACTTCAGTATATATTCTTTTCATCATGTCTACTAATGTTGGTACTGGAGGTTAAGGGA